TTACTAAATGCTCACCGAGGTAATATTCAGACTTATTGCTGGACAAACTTTGCAATTAAGCATATTAGATCAGTGAGCGTTTAGCTTAATCCATAAGGATGTAGTGCCACCTATTAAACTCGACTTGGAGGAGATAAGCCCTTTTTGAGTTCTAATCTGCTTGAGAAGTGGCCTACTGAGTAAATAATGTGAGGAATGAATATCGTTTAGCACATGGAAAATTGAGGTCATTCGAACCCTTATACTTCTATCTTTTGCCGCTATGAACTATTCACCCACAAGGTATCGTTAGAACTTAGTAGTCCTTGGTTTGGATAAGTGCAGTCACTCGAAACGCATTTATTAACCTAGAATGCTTCCAATTGGAATACAAGCTGATTTCATACTGTTGATGTTTATAGGTTAAGAATAGAATAGCACTTCTAGATGAATAGCAACCAGGTGAGATGCACGAACTCGAATTGATATAGACAGTGTGCAACGCTGAGATATTACTATTAATGTTTAACGAAACGCCGAAATTCAGGTGTCAGCAATCATTAACCTGACAAAATTAGAGATAATTTATCAAGATTGTAGGCGGAAAAATATAACCATCTTCTTGCATACCGCCACGACCTTGGACGAGGTGCTTTCTGCTTCGAATAATGCAAATTAAAATTCAGCCAGAGCAAAATTATCTATCTAATCAAATGAAATCATTCGTCAATTTTTACTTTTATGAAATTTATTATGTTGGATTATTTACCATCAAGAAGTTACACCAAATATATAATGTATCGATCTGAGCATATTTACCTAAATTCATTTAATATCACTTAAAAGGACTATGAAAAAGCATTGATTTCTTAACTCATTTTATTTTTATGAATTTGTAAAGATTTTTAACGTCGGTAAGCAATTTTTCATATTATTTCAGGTGAATGGAAGCAAATCTTATAAGTTCACAATTAATTACGTTTCGTTATTGAGTATAGCTGAGCATCCCCTTCAATCCTTATAAGCTAGTATTATAATAATTTTTTAGAATCATTAACATAATTAAAATTAAAAACTCAGAATATAGTGAAACTATTTCACAAGAATCAATATATTTAAGAGTAAGTATTTTCAAGTTAGCATAACATAATCTCATTATAAAATTAATTAGTATAAATGTTTATGAATTGAGTTTAAATAAATAATGATTCTTTTATGCTTAAGACCTCAAGCTACAGAATAACGTTGCTTAGTGATTGTAGAGTCTGGTTAAACTGTCACTTCCCTTATCACTTATCCTTGTCATAAATTAGATGTAATAATGATTGAAGTTTATTGAGTAGGATATCGAAATTCAAAAGACGGAGCATGGGAATATGCATATGAATCACTTAGAATCAATGCGTATGTGAATTGAATGAAATTTAGCTTAAAGCAAATAACGTGAATTAATTAGTCTCATTTACTTAAACCACCTGAGGACAAGTAAAAGTTATGCAGAGAAGTTTCAGATTATTGCCGGGAATTATGCGCTTCAAACGCCGGGCTTACTAAGCGATTTTAGACTTAAATATTTAGGTACTCAGAGATAAGATGAAAAAACTCTTTATCCTAAAGTAAATACCTTAATTAGGCTGATTTTATGAAGTAATGGCGAATTTCACTTTTCATTTCCATCAATATTCAGAGATATTATATTATTTTTACGCTAGCCCAAAGTTCTTACTAACTATTTCCACAAGTGGGAGGAGCTATAAAATTAATCGACTTATTATACTATTTATCGCTTTCATCTAATTTCACTTAACACTTTCACAAATATCCAGCTGAATTCAGTATCCTGTTTGTCGATTTGATTCTTAATGGATAAAATGTTGAGAGTAAACGGATATTTAACTAATTACTCCCTTTGGGATTCCCTTATTCAACTAGCTCAAGGTCAGTAAACTTCTTGTGCACTGCTTTATAAGCAGGTAGAGTTAGTAAAATCGCTTTAAATATTTTATGTTTGTTTAAATTAGTGCACATTAGGCATGGACGTACATGAATCAATCACAGTTTATATCAGAAAAGTATCTTTGAATCTTCTCAGATTTCTTTGGTCAGAATGAAGAAAGCTTATTCTTGAGGGGTGTGCGATAGACTTACCTCCACGTGGTGCACCCTGGGCAACGTATACTTATACGGCAAAAAAGTCTATTAGCCGGCATTTGACTTCTGACTTCGAATAACCACGACCCCCCTGGTTGTCATATTCGACCCCTTCCACAGTACTCACCTTACCTTTTTCTCTACCTTTGTGTCTGTCTCTTTTACATCTGTGAATCGCTCTTCTCTTCCCCACCCCTCGACTTTCTGCTACTCTGATTAACCTTCCCTCTGTGAAGCCCGAAGTCAGCTAAATGGCAAATGATAGCTATCAAAACGCCTGCCATTTGAAATAAATAAATTTATCACAAACAAACTATTTAGCTAACCGTTCTTTTAATTGATTGTTTTATTTTTGAGAATAAGTTCGTACAAAATATGAATTCTAGCATATCAAACCATTTACTTCCAATAACCAATTACGTTAAATGGTAGTGAGCAATGAATTTTTTACTAATCAATATTGTCACTTTAACCACGGCATGCTATAAATCACTTGGAATTTGAATCGTACTTCTGATATGGTTCATTAAATCAGGTTAATTAATTCAGAATATCCTCAAGTTGAAGTGCAGGATGTCCAAATAAATGTGCATACCTGTCTAACGCTCTTTGTAATATTTTTCACCCATTCTGAAGGCAATGGCGGCGGATCTCCAAGATGTGACAGAAGCCATTCCACTTTAGCACTATTCAAAGAACGCAACTCCAGGACTCTTATCTGGAATGGCCGGAACTTGGATCTATCCGCGGTAATAAGTTGGCAAGCCTAGGTTATGAATAGTCTACATTAGTATCCCTCTACTTATTAAGGTTCAATATGGCATAGCACTAAGTTCACCTGAACGGGTAAAAGAAGATTAATTTCGCAAGCGCTGCCAAGTCCGTGTCTGCTTGCCCACTGCTTAATCCGTTGCAGACGACGCATCAAACGACCTGCTCCCAGTCTTGTTGTCCACAAGCTCCCTTTGTTTTTTTTCAGTTCTGTCTGAACAATTGAATTGAAAGTCCAAGCTCCAATTGCATGGAATATGTAAGCGAAGAACTGAAGAGCAAAAGAGACGTTAACACAAGCCTGACGCATTCCGCGCATCATAAAAGCAAGACTCTGCAGAAGTTGCTGAATATGTGGTTCCATAGTTCCCGGCATAGCCAGTTGAATATTCTCGTTTGGAGAGAGTGACCTGTCATCCAATCGTACATCATCTTGTTGATCATAATCCCCAGGAAATAGCAAACTTGGGGAGAGATTTTTAACGAGTTCAAGAAAGTTTCGACGCAACCCATGAAATGATGAATCAATACAATTAGACAGAAGTTGGCAGGAGTTTTGCGAAGCTTCATGAAAATCCACATCGTTGTGGAGAAAGTTCTTGAGCTCACTAGAATTTGCCAACCAGAAGAGAAGCTGATTGAGGACAACTCGGAGAGTTGTCCAGGTCATAGCATCCGTCTGACAGCAGTTTTGAATACACTGAAATGTGATCATAATTAAAAGCAAGAAATATTGTGGCGTGTTATAGCTGTTTGAAACAACTAAACGTACATGGAACATCTGACTTCCAATATGATTTAGAAGGCCACTTAAATAATGTTCTTGTTGTTCCCTAGTCAGTTGGGCTACTCTCCATCTTCTCAGGCAACCTCTTAAAAAACCATAGAGTAGAAAGGCAGGAGTTAAGACGAAGATCGGAGGTCTTGAACTACTTCTTGCATTAGGGCCAGCTGCTGTAGGCGTGTGAAATGAGAGACTTGTAGCAAGTTTGAGAATCGCATCGACTGTATCACATGCTGCCTCGTGTAGACAAGCAGCAAAATCATCTTTTGTGCTGGTAGAATTAGCTTGTGGAGGAAGACAGACGTCCACTATTAGCGGAAGAAGATCAGGAAAGAGTTGATCGGTGTTCGCATACGTTGGTTGGTTCTGTTTAGAGAAAAATAAACATTAGTGATAAGACATCTATCTAGCCATACTTGCTTAAAAAGTGTTGTGTTGTGGCATTTATTGAAGCGTTGTCCCATTTTTCTTGTGCTTTAGCCCAACTTAAAGGGTGA